TTTAAAAACATGTCCTATGAAAAATGTGTTTCCAGACCTTTCTGAGAGATGTTCCTGATTTTAAACAGAAAAGGCTGGGGGGGGGGGGTGTCTTCGCTTTTGTGATAATTTACGGCGAAAATTTGATCTCAGTAGTAACAGTTTTTCCAAAATCGCCCAATCCGCTGGTAGAAAAAAATGTGTAATATCTTCTTCAATGACAAACCTTTGTTTACCTTATATGGCTATTGTTATTAATGCGCAGAGAGGACCATACCACGAACAATTGACCAATCGTTGAATGAATAGCAACGTTTACTGGACAACTACATGTATACATTTTACTTCGAACACGTGGTAAAGGTCAATCTACGATCGATATTAAATGGACTGCAAAAACCAGTTAAAAAAACAAAACTGTTTTTAAAAAAAATTAAATGATTAGAAACTATGAAAGACGTCACTGGTGTTTGCAATTTGTTGTTACGTTGTTAACTAGAAATATTATATAATAATATGTAGTCTGTGTCACGTTCAGAACACCAGCACTTCAAGGTTAAGGAAAACGAGCAGCATCTCTTAGGCATTTAAACAGTTAAATGGACAGCAAAGATTTTTTTTTTACATGAATACCCGTGGTCACATGTGATTTTGGCCAGGGAACCCACCTGACAATTGTATTCACCGATAGTACAACAAAGGAATACAGACGCAATTAAATTGCCTTACAGTCTGACTTTGAGAAAAGCTAGAATTCCACGTTTATTTAACAAATGAATTGTTTGTAATTGTGAGCATGGGAATAATAGAATAAAAATGGACAGATTACTTTTCATCTACGAAATGCATGAAAAAAAATGTTCATTGTGCCTTTCCGACCGCCTGTAGATTTGGGTTTTTCCCAAGCGTAAAATTCTTGTAGTATCCGTAGTAGCCCACAATGCAATTCAACTCATTCAGCTGATTTTTCAGTTTAAGATTTTTGGTACCTCATTTGCTAATCTGACGCCCCCCCCCCCCCCCCCCCCAAAAAAATAGTCCCAGTTTCCTTGCAAGTGTTTTTGTTCAAAAATAATTTTTAATATATAACTGCAGAAAATAATTTCATTAGGAATACTTATTGAAGTTTGAATGAATTCAAGAGAGACTAAAGTACATTTCTACAGGTATTGTACAGTGGTGAGAACTGAAATGCAACATAACTTTTCTGTTTTCCATGTCTCCACGTGGAAGTCACTTCCTAGCCACATTTCCGTGAATAATTTACCTTATCTCTTGTAGTCTCGGTTAATCTCGCCAGAGCTACTGTCAGAGCTACTCCTCGAGTTTTAATTTGCAGAACACCGAAAAATAAAAGGTTCCGAACACATTAGTAGGAGTGAACAGGTGATCAGAAAAATTCCCTTTAACTTTTGTTTCAGGTATCCGAGTTAAAATGTTTATACAGATCATGTATATGATAATGGGTGGCCCTAGAACAAATATATTGATAATAGAATCTAATGACTCTTAAAACATTACTTTAATGAAAACATTATTTGTCAGGTACAGGTGATTGATATAATCAACAACATATATAAGACATTCCAGCGTGAATGCAGAGAGGGAAGGGTGAAAAATATCTCAAACCCTTTTAAGCGTCTTTTGGCAGCGACAGGTAAGGATTTCTATACAAATTCTATGATACATATAAAGTAAAAAAAAAAACTTATGATGAAGTGCTAGGGACTTAGGATTTTGCTTCAATATAAATGTGATTTATCATGTCAGTTAAATTTACAATATATATATTCTAATGCTACAGGGAATAAAGTTTTTGATGTAAGTGTCAATCAATACAAGCATGATTTACTGTATTGATATTAAAGTACCTATTTTTCAAAAGAACCTTTTATTTTAAAAAAAACTGACATGAGGCCCATGGGTCACATCACTCAGCTGAGCACATTGGCTAGGAAAAAGCACTGATCAGTTCAGTATTGAGAAAGTTTACATGGGGGTTGGGACAACCTTGAATATTTACACTATTTGAGGGTGTACTATGTAAAGAATCTTTCCTATAAATTTCAACTTTTTTGGCCCAGTGGTTCTTGAAAAAAAGATTTTCAAAAGATGCCACCAATTTTTGCTAATTCTTAATTACCTACCCTTCAAGAGAGTGTGGCCCTTTGTTTAAACAAAATTGAATCCCCTTTACCAAAGAATGTTTTGTGACAAGTTTGGTTGAAATTGGCCCGGTCAAAAATGTAAAAAGTTTACAGATAGATGGACAGACGGACAACAAACAAAATGTGATCAGAAAAGCTCAGTTTAGCTTTCAGCTCAGGTGAGCTAAAAAGATAATCTCTGAATTTTATCCTGTGACAGTTTAGTTCATTAAATCTCTACCATAATTTAGGATTATCTGAAAAGAGTCTTAGAGCTAAGCTGAAAACTGAAGATCCAGTAGAGACAGTTGTTGAAGACTTGCAAGTTCCTCCTGTAGAACAGAAGTTCCACTCCAATAATGGGCTTAATGACTTTGATGTGGACCTGGTGAAAAGGACCATCCATGAGATGCAGTTAGGGGGCGAGTATGTTTCTCTCCGTCGACTGTCAGGTTTATTGGTAGAAAGGGGAATCAGGATCATCAAGTCATTACTGGGACGGCTTTTGAAGAAACTTGGATTCAGGTAAAGTACAGTACGGCAAATGTTTGAGTTCTCAAAAATTATCTGTAAGAAAACCATATCATTAATACACAAATATAGCATTATATTTTTATATAAAGAAAATTTTATAACAGTTTCACAGACTATTTGCAAATTACAGATTAATTGGAAAAGATCATCTATTTTGATTTTTTTTGTGAGGCCCATGGGTCACATTGCTTACCTGAGCACTTGAGTTGGAAAGAACAGTAATCAGTTTAGTATTGAAAAGTTTAAAAATGTTAGACATATAAGTGGTCCTTGAATCTACAAAATAGAGGATGCTTCCACATTTCTTTGACTAATCATGGCTTTAGATTTTTAAAGAATTTTATATTCTACTTTGGCCCGTCCCTACCTCCTTGGGACATAATCATTTAAAATCTACTTAATTAGAACAACAAAATCTGTGTCAACCGGCCACACTCGCTGTAAGCCCCAAGTATTGATCAGGTACTGTAGATGGCTTTGAACAAACTACATCTATGCTACGTGAGGATGCTTCCATGCAAGTAAGACCAATCAGAGGAAGATTTTTTTGTATTTATTCCCATGTAAAATTTTGATTAATTTCTATGGCCCAACCCTTCTACAGGAGTTCATGGTTTGAATCTTTGAATCTATACTCCTGAAGATGCTTCCACTTAAGCAGTTTCATATTTTCTGGCTTTGTGGTTCTTGAGAAGATATTTAAAAGATTTATTTTCATTAATTCATAGTTATCTCCCCTTGGAAGAAGGTGTGGTCCTTCATTTGAACAAAGAACTCAATCCACAATATGCCTTATTTGGCCTAGCAAATATGAAATTTTCAAAAAGGGATTTAGAATAAATAAAAGTGTTACTTCTCACCCTAGAACATTGACTCATTTCACATGTATAACATTTTCTTTGTACCGGATATTAATAAAGGCAAACTAAACACTAAACCCACAGTGGTTCGAGGTTTTCCGGGAAAATTCCAAAATTTAGCACATATTAATCTAAATTTACACATACAGCACACCCGTTACCGCAAAATAATAAAACAGAAATTTAAATATTGAAGTCCGATAAATGTTTTCCAGTGAAAAGATTTTGCGTTAACGAGTGTGCTCATATTGAAAATAAATAAATAAAAAAATTCCATTTCGCGTGAAAATTATCGTCTGTTATGATTCCTGGAAGAAACGCAAGAATATTAGAAGCTGTAGAGATTTATGAATTTTTTCTAAAAAGACACACTATTTCTGGGAGACATGCTGTGTAAAGGTAAGTGATTCTTGTTTCTACAAAAAAATTAATAACAGATGATCAATAAATTTCCATAACAGATGATCAATAAATTTCCATGGACATATTTTTTATAAAGTCAGCAAATTATTACAGTCCTAAGTAATTGGTAGTGTGGCACTCCACTAAATAACCTGCCGATTTGTTTCAACATTACATAAGATAAATTCTCTCAATCTATCAACCTTTCGCTGAGCTATCTTTCACCATATTCCATACTATGTCGTATACTCCGGGACAATCTTTTCCTTACGAATTTTGCTTTATATTTTTTTTTTATAAACTCCCTAAAGAAAAGGCGTTATTAATCAATCGAAGTAATTTTGATAACAAAGAAAAGAAAAAGCTTTTTATATGACAATTTTTTTTTTATTAAAATATGTATAAGAAAGTTTCTTGTTTATATAAAATAAAAAATATCCTATTTAGAAGAAATTATTCAACACAATAATTAAATAAATTACGGTAAAGAGCAGTAACTCATTCAAGGATCACCAAACAGTAGTGCATGCATCCTTGCTAAATTTCAATTTCAACACAAAACCAAGAAACATCAACAGTAACAAAAGAAAGAATAAACCAAGGGGAAGGGGAGACAAGGAATTAAAAAACAAAACAAAAACAATACATCTATTTCTGGTAACAATAACTTAATTTGATGAATTTATAAACGTGAAATTTCAATAAAATTTTTTAATAATTTTTTTTGTTTCATTTATTTAAAATTTCAACATGAATCCAAGAAACACCAACAGAACAAAAGAAAGAAAAAAGCAAGGGATGGGGGGGGGGGGGACTAAATAAAATGGAATTTAAAAAATTCAATACATCTATTTCTGGTAACAATAAATTACTGTGAAATTTTTGAAATGACTGTAACTTACACAAATATAAATATTTTTTAACATCATTTTTTTCTCTTCTCTTTTTTATTATTTATTTATTTATTTTTTTTCTTTCATGAATAAAGAATTAAAGTTAAAATATTATAATTTTAAACATTTACAAATAGAAAATACATTGTATTACCACTGTATTATTATTTTTTTTAGTATTTCAGATGTCTGGTTCTGCAAGAAAGTTTTATTGCTGCTTTAACTGCCCTCGAAGAGTGCGGCAAAAAGACAGACACAGTGTTCCGAAGAAATGTAGGGCTGTCATAACAAAGCTGTCCGGAAGGACACCCTCGGACAGGGATTTTCTTTGCAATAAATGCAAATGCGTGTGCTACTACTATCTTAAAAGAAAGGAGCACCCCAATTCTTCCAGACCTCAAGACCATGGTAAGAAAGAAGTGTCATCAGCACCCTCTGCACCTCCATTTAGCCCACCATCGATTAGACTACCTTTTCCATGCACATCAAGGGGACATGCTATGTGCTGCATCTGTAAACGTCCTGGACCCAAATTAGTTGTAGTTCCAGTTGACCTAAGGCACCGCATTTTTATTTCAAAGGAGGTTATTATCCCAGCTTGTTCTCGTTGCTGCCCTAACCATCCTCAACAAAGCATCCAAGATCTCAATCCTGTTGCTAACACCACCACCTTCAACAAAACATCCATTGTTCAACTTATAAAGTTTTTACGGTCTGAAGTCATGAAGAGTGAGAAAACTAGGCTGGATTTCAACAACAGTGAAAGTCTTACTGACGCTGAATACCTGGATCTCCTTGGAATTTCTAAAGCTGCATTTCAAGACTTGTTGATGTATGTTGAGGAAATGAAAGTCAGATCAACTCCAGCACGAAGCGTACGAACCAGCCTTGCCATATTCTTGATGAAGCTCAGAGGAGGAGATTCAAATCGCATTCTCTCTACATTATTCAATGTGTCAAAATCCAGTATACATAGAGCTATTAAATCAATTAGAACAGCTTTGATGAATGGCAGATTTGTAACAGAGAACCTTGGATTTGGTCACATCACAAGAGAAATGGTCATCCAACAACATACTCGACCATTAGCCCAGTCCTTTTTTGGTGATGCAGGAACCCAGCAGGCCATACTTGTCCTTGATGGAACCTATATCTACATAAATAAAAGTGGTAATTTCAAGTTCCATCGACAGTCGTTTAGTCTTCACAAGGGCAGGCCCCTAGTTAAACCACTAGTTATTGTGTCCACTACTGGCTACTTCGTTTCTGTAATGGGTCCTTACATCGCCAAAAACAACGACGCCACCATACTTAACCACGCCATGAAAACCAACATTGATGACATCTGTAATTTGGTCAAGGAGGAAGATATTTTTGTGATTGACAGAGGATTTAGAGATTCCTTGGATTATCTTGAGCAGATGGGAATCAAAGCGCAGATCCCGTCCTTCATGGCAAAAGGTGAAAAACAGATGGCGACTGAAAATGCCAACACCAGTAGATTAGTGACAAAGGTATTAAATATGACCAACTTTGTACTTTTATTAAAAAAGTTCTAAAGAAATTTTTTTTATCTATTTGAAAAATTCATTTGCATACATATTCTGAACAAGTTTTAACAGGAAGTTTCTACATAAACTGCCCTTATAATACATGTACCTATATATCTATCATCTATCCACAGATACGCTGGGTTGTCGAATCCGCAAATGCTCGGATAAAGCAATGGCGTTATTTGGGGAAAATACTTCCATCAAGCCAAATACCACACATCGGTGATTTTGTCCGGATTGTGTGTGCCATATCCAACAGGCATGTAGTTTTCTAGTTTACTAGAAAAAATATAACATCTGAAAAAATAATTTTATTTACCTTTTAGTAAAGAAGTTCCATATGTTTATCAAGTATATTAGAGTAATCTAAAAATGCTGGTTCACATGAAAAAAATTTTCTTGAATTGAAAAAAAAAAACAACAAACATTTGTTTTGTTCTGATCCTATTACCAGTTAAATTTCAATTTACAAAAGTTCATATGCCATAATTATTAGAAATTATTAATACAAATGCTCACAAATGATTTATTTCTTTCAGGTACTTGAAACCACTTTCTACTGATGATACTGAAGAGGATCTTGCTCTTGGTTCCAAGATGCTGTACCTCTCCAAACAGGTAAATTCTCTGCAGCAACATGTGGAAGAAAATAACCTGAACAGTTTGCTGGGAGGAAATTGGAGATCTGAATGACTTTCCTTGCTTGGATGAAGAACAATTAAGATCCCTAACATGTGGCACATACCAATTTAGGTTATCCCCAAGCTATGCCCAGGAGCATATTGATGGAGACTGTTCCATTCTAGTTCACAAGGAGGAGCATGGGCTTTTACGTGTAAGATTACAGAGTCGACACGTTTCTACAAAATCTTACTTGCTGTGGGTTAAGTATGAAGCTGGTGAAATCACTGGATGGTACTGTAAATACAGGAAATTTTAATTTGGAAAGAACGACTAATCCCTCAAAAAACTGGTTTCCTGCCCCGTGATCTTGACGCTAATGGACGAGTTTACCATGTTAAATCCCCGTAGACTTTGAACTTGTCAATACACCGGTTGAACTCGAGGGTTCGTTTAAATGCAGGAAGTTTGGAAAAAAAATGATCTTTCGATCGAACCTAGTTTGAAGGTCAAGATATTTATACATTTTGAGGTATGATGCGAAAAGTTAGGTCCTTAATACAGTGGGACAGCCTATAGGTGTTTTATAATTTAAGGTCCTAAGGCAGTGTACTTCTTTTCTTTCCTTAATTCAAACAGTCTGTTTGTAAAGTTCTTTTTGTGTGGTTGAAATCACAAACGTTTTCAATATTTTCGTCAAATCCTGCTTTTGCTCTGGGAAAAAACTCAAACAAATTAATGTTAATAAAAATTAAATATAAAAGTTTTCTTAATGTTTGCAAGTGGTATTTTCGTAGGCAACATTCTAAACTTTATTATAGCAATGTACCTGGAAAATGTTGTTTAATCATTACCCATAATCAATTTCTTAACATGGAATTCTTTCCGTTTTAGGTCTTGTAACATCTGTATTAAAACATGTATATTGTTTTGGTTTTTAATTAGTGCATTGTCACAATTATTTTCTTTAAAAATGCTTTTTACTGCAATTCATGTTTTATCTTAACAAAAAAAATCTTAAAGAATGCTCTACCTCTATTGCCATATCAGATTCCATTGCTTTGGATGACTTGTCCCAATTTTTTCTGCAATCATGTTCTTTTATAGCACTGTCACTAGCAGTTTGACAGAATCTACAGGTCTTGCATCTATATGAATATGCCAGTTTTTTTCCTGTATTTACTCCGAACATACTACCATGACCTGAAATTTGTGTATAAAAAAAAGGAAAGAAAAGAAACATATATTCATGTCACATATGTATGATACAGAGTACAGGTTTGTCCAATTCTGAGAATTACCTGTGAGACTGACCTTATTTTCTACCAATTCCTTGAGTCTGCCATCCAGCATCAAAACTGACAGTCTCCACACAGTATTTTCACAGTTGAGGTTTCAAGAATGACTGCTATATTAATTTGTTGTACAAATTATATAACATCATTTTTCCATAAAAAAATTATCTTTTATAACCTCAAAAATATTTTGAAATGATATAAGAAAGCTATTAAGAATATTTTCAAGGTTACCTGTCCTTTTCCTCTATTAATGCGTCTTGGCATGTTTCATCTGCTACTGCCTACAAAACTATACCTGCCTCTTTTTTTAATGTTGTAGGTAAAACAGATGGTAAATTCAGTGCTCCAAGCAAAGTATTTACAACTGTTTCCCCAATGCCACAGAAAAGCATCGCTGAAACAGGAAAAGTCAGTTATTTAAGCTTGCGCTCTTCGTACAGATATAAACAATTATGATAAAAAATTTTCTTATTTGAAAGATTAACTTTACCTGCACCCAATTTGGAATTCACATCCCATACATTTGGGCCATGTCGTTTTCCAGTAGCGACCAGTGTCACTTTCTGACAGTGCACATTTAAAGTGAAGTAAACTACCTGTATCAAAAATTTATCTATATACTTATAATTTTTATACACATTTTATACAACTGCATTATTAGCAAAATATATGTCATCACTTAAAAATATTACTTTTTTAGATTATCTACAAGCATGTGTGGTGTTGGAAACAATATGCTATAACTTATATATATTATGTTACAATGTAGTAGTATTCTCAAGTATTTTAATAATACCTAGTCCATATCTTGTATCTCCTATTCAAGAGGACAACTATAAAAGTTCTTTGCAAGAATGGCATCCTTTTCCCAGCTCTTTGATTGAGAAGTTATAATATCTGGACCGCTCTCTGGAAAAAGGGGTCTTAATGACATGAGTTTTTCCCCTGCAAATTGATGGCACTGGTCTAATAAATAATATTTCCAAGTTTGGTCGTTTAAATCCTAATAGTAACCTTGTTACAGCCGATTGAATGACGTCATTTATAAAGGTTCGCAAACCCATGCAATGTTAACGCTGCGTAAGATATATTTTGAAATTCTTTTAATTCAGGATTGCTTTTATGTAATATTTTTAAAAAGTTTTACATATACGAATAAAACATTATGAATATAAATATCTATGTTTTTTTTTAAAAATACTACTTTGATTATTACATATGTTACACTCTGAGGCTATCAAAATAAAAGAAAACATGCATGTTTTTAGTTTCATTTAAATCTCAATCTTCATTAATCTCTATGCAAACAATGTTATAATAATTATTCATTTTTTTCTTTTGAGAGTACACAAGAATGACAGGATGCAAGTCAATAAAATCATTTATACATCTATATATTTAATTCAACTATATTCCTGAAATGGGCTAGGAAAAGTTTCGTCCTGAAATGCTGGTCGCACATACGGCCTCACATGCGAGTATAAGTATCGCAAGCGAGATTCAGATAATCCACTTGCAGGAAGAACATGTGGCCTTCTAATTTCAGTAAATTGAAACCCCTTGTCCTTCAAAATTGTACCTTTTCGTCGTTCCCTCCACTGGTCTTCTTCACTGTAAAAATACCGTGTTCTTCTGAATTGAAGGAGAAGTGTTGGTACTGGCGTATACCCTTCATAGCTTTGAAAAACTTATTAAGGTAAGCTTTCCATGATCTCCATTGCCATGTTGGGTATCTCACAGCTGTGTTTGTAGAAGATTTGTTCTCATCTTCAAGTTGGCCAATACCGTCACAAACACAACGCCTGTATAGCTACTTCATACGAGCAAATCCTCCATCGATGAGGCATCGTGCGTGACCAGGAATCTGCATCTTAAAGTCTATAGTGTGGTGTTGTTTCATCATGACTCGCCACATAAAGTATCCAAGCACCTAATGAGTTTTATTCTGACTATAGCAGTTATCGGCAAGGATTGTACATGATTTCATAAGCGAGCATAAAAGTTTTGTTGCACACTTATACACCAGAGAACATGAATGTTTGTCGTGAACGCAATCTCTTCTTTCCCCGTTTGGTTGTCTCCTTACTGTTGTCCACGAGAGAACCCAAGACATGCATGTCCTTCTCTTCCTTTGACATCTCCCTCATGTTAAGGATGTGAGTATATAAAATATCACTGCTAAACAGAGAGACGCACGTATTCTTACAGCCGCATCCCCGATCCTTTGTTATATTCATCTGTCTCCTCCTCCTTTTGTGTCTGGACCCTGTAAAGTATTTATTACTTTTTTATTTGCAGGAATAAATTATTTTATTACATAAATAAATTTTATCTGAAATCCATTGATATAAATTTAACACTCATTAGAATATCTACACTTACATGGATTAACCTTACATACATGATTGCGCCCATGAGAAAAGGGTGCTTATGACAATTTTCAGAGAACAGAGAAACAACGTCACAAATTAAAGTTATGACGTAAAATTCACATCGTTGTCACCGCGGTGTTTAGCACAACAACGTGCATTTTTTTTTGGGGGGGGGGGATTTAATGTTTCATGCGGGATTTAAACCAATAAACTAGACGTGAATGTCCATTAATAAAATCGAATGTACTTTTTTTTTTCTTTTATAAATTATTTTTCTTTATCGAGTGTTATCGGAAGATAATACCGGGACCGTTTCTCATGTATCTCTGGCAATAGTAATGATGCAACTGCTGCTGTAAACATACTGAAGAAGTTTTAACCATGGACCAATTTGAGGTAAAGAAGACAAAGCACACTCAGAAATACATTACATAATCTGTCTAGCCATGTTTAAAAAAAAAACAGGATAAATTTGAGGAAATTGTTTAAATGATTGATTGATTGTATATTGTTTTACGTCCCATTCGAGAATTTTTCACTCATATAGAGACGTCACCATATACCGGTGAAGGGCTTCAAATTTTGACCTTTACTCGGCACTCAGGGCCATTGAGCAGTTAGTTATCTTTATCGTGCCAACGCCTGCCGTGACACGGGGCCTCGGTTTTAAAGGTCTCATCCGAAGGACCCGCAACTTTCACTTCAAAGTGCCGAG